AAACACGGGAGATCGATCCATCACAGAGAAGATGTTTCAAATGACCCACGCCATAGACCCAACAGTCAAACTGTTCCATAACGAATACAATGTTATCAGCTCCGGAATCATCACTGATGTAGGTGACTCGTTTTCCATCATGCATTTTAAATCATTTTTGATATGATATTTTAAATACACTTTATACAGGCTTGTAGGAAGCAAATTTGAAATGATGTGTGTGTGGGAGTTATAAACTTGACAAAAACTAAGGGTGGTGGAGCTCTTAGCCTCCCTGCTTTTACACGTAGAATGAGGTGGTTGAAAAAAGTGGGGTGGCAAAAGCCCGCCATAGGCTCCTACGCTTATGTGACACCATAGTTCAATTAATTACAATACCTAAGAATTGTTTATGACTACATGAATAAAAACACCAATGGTGAGTCTGTACCAAAGACAAGAAGACTTGTATTTACACATCATGTAAGTAGCAGTATTCTTGGTTATTTTCACAGGCATACGTTCAGATGGTCCAAGATTATTTGGCCAAAGGTCTGCCGCTGTCAGGTATTGGAGTCCAGGGGCACTTTCCAGCTGGACCTCCAGATATTCTCAAAATCCAGGTATACAGTTCACATGGATGGAATTTTACACTTTTCAAAGACTTAGAAATTTTATAAAGGAGAATATCACCTTGTACATTTTGATCTATTTTTACATCTGAATACCAAATGGTCATCTTGAGTGGATGCTATTTCTAAACAAAGACTTCTTTTGCCTTACTTTGCTTATTTCTTCTCAGCAAAACTTGGACAAACTTGCGCTCACCGGGATCCCAATATGGGTAACCGAACTGGATATAGAGGGGAAAGACGTAAACAAGAGGGCAGATTACTATGAGGATGTAATGACGTGTTTGTTCAGTCACCCAGGGGTCGAGGGGATAGTGCTTTGGACATGGTATGATGATGGAAACGCATGGAGAGCCAATGTGAATATTGCACAGGGAGTAGGGGATGATTTTAAGGTAAGCTGTTGTTATTGTGTAATATTCCGTATTGACTTTTTAAGAGAAGTATGATGAAGAATAAAGATAAAGGTAAAGATGCGTGTTTACTGTTTATATATTATTTGCAATCTGTTTACGCTTTTCAGTCAATTTGATCTTATAATTTGTTACAGCTCAATGCAGCGGGACAGAGAGTTCAGCAACTGATGACTAAAACTTGGAAAACCAACCGCGTTCTCAAGCCGTCTTCGAGAACGAGCACCTTGAGACTGAGAGGTAAGCTTAATCCACGAGATCAACACTTCTGTAGCAACATTTGCACACACGTGTAGGTACATGGCCCTTTCCAACCCCGCACAAAAGTTTCAACAGATTCTACGATAAGACACATTTTGAGTTTCGTTTGGATCCACTTGAAGTCAGGGCTCCGTAAGTCGAAAGCATTGCGAATGGGCGCAAGCATGGTGATTCCTCGAAAGTGCATAACTCGAAAGCCTCGAGCTTTCGAGTTACAGAGCCCAGATTAGAAACTGAAACACAAAGTACACCTATATTGTGCAATGTAACTGCTCTTAGTGAAATGTTCTCCAATATGTTGTCAATAGATTTTTGTATTCTTTTTGATTCACGCATTTTACAGTATTCAAGGGCGACTACACCATAACTTTGAAATACAACGGATCGCCCATAAATGAGAAGAAAATAACCGTTGGAGACACCATGCAAATTGACATGCACACAGGTTCCGCCCCTCCCACTAGTGCATCTGTGACAACGACCAAACCGCAGCCAATGTCGTCAGGACTGACCTGTGTTAATAGGTGGTCAGGACATTCGGACATCGGTGATGACAAACCTACCGACGTATCGTGCAATGCGGATGAAATCATGACTGGGTGTTCTTCCAGGGCAACCGTGAGTAAATTAAAATTAGAAAAATATTTTTTCACGCTGGATTGAAGTTTTTTTTAAAAGTTAACATTAAAACAGATTAATAGTAAAATATAACAGTATGTTTAAGTCAGAACCGTATATCAGGTTCTGTTCCATAACTTTTGTTAACTAGGTTGTTGCAAAAGGAATGTAACGAGAGGTTAGGATGACCCCACTCTTAACGATCTCCACACGTTTGATTAACAATTATTTGGGAAATGAGAACCAGGCACTTATATTAAAAAATTCCCTTACAACATACCCATTTCTCATTTGACAAACAATTCTTAAGGAACTCTTTCCTTTCCAACCCTAGGATACCAGTAACATTAATAATTAATTTATATAATTATGTATAAATGAAATACACATAATATTCATTTGGTACTTCTAGGATAATTCAGCACTTAGAGACGGCGAAGTGTACGCCTGGAATGCCGCCACGGGAAGACGGGTTTGCAGGGCACACAATGGGTACGGTTCCAGGGCCGCTGTTCAGGCCATCGCCCGGTGCTGCAAGACGAGCTCACAGCTTCAGTGTTCCTATCACAGTTCACAAGCTTCAGAGAAAGGAGACGGGAAGCAAGTCTCAGTGGCCTGTCCCAGTGGCAAACTACCCACAGGTGAGAATAATTTATATCGCAGTTGTACTAACATCTAATTCATGTGTTTTCAGACTGTGAAAGACTTTCAAATTACTTTCCAATTTCAGGTTGTACCACACACACCTACCACAGGGACTTTGACGGGTCTAACCCCAAAATGGACACGCGCTCCTGTGTAGCGCAAAATGGCGGTCCACACGGAGGTAAGTGTTATATGTCGGTATATACTTAATACCAAAATATGATAAGCAATATCCTATTTCAAACATCAGCAGTGTGTATACAATATGAAGTCTGGGCGGTCTGATTCTGACCATGACAGTGCTTTGAAATGTGGTTAGTAAAAACGGTGTCTTACAGATAATGTTACAGATGTTGAAAGTAGTAGGCCTACTCTCACGCTTTCACTCCCTCCTTAAAGATTACAGTTGTCCTAATTCCATTGATAGCATTTTTCTTCCTCGCAGGTGTGTATGCCCACGCTGCCTGCTGTGAGGCAAGCGGTCTCTCGTGTGTCACCAAATATTCTGGTCGCAGTGGAAACTTTGCCGGCAATGTGACCTACGTGGCCTGTGATACAGGATACACCATCACTGGGTGTAACGTCTTTAATGAGTTTGGCGGAACTGCAGGAGCCTTTGCAGGTAACAACCCTCCCACAAAAAAAAGCACTTGTTTTTCACAAATTTAACAACTTTTCAGCATGGACCATGTATGCGGCGTCGTTTTGTGCTATTGCCCTATGCTTTATTTGCACCTTAACCTCGACGAACGAAAAACGTTATGTAGATACCGTTTAGTTAATATGCTTATTAAAATATATATATATAAAATAACATAAGAACAGTAACCAAACGATAATTTATCACTTATAACCATGCAAAATGTGGATATTGCATAAGTAATGAAATAACAACTGACAGAAGTATTCTACATGTTATAGATACCTGGGGAGGCAATACCTACTGCCTTGCTATAAACGGCAAGAAGCGCGACATCCCAAACCAAGGAGTGAAGGCCGTGGCTACCTGCTGCAAACTGTGAGAAACAAACGACAAGAAATCAAATGCCCATTGGAGGATTCCATGAATTTATGAATTAATTAACTTCTGATCACAAATAGCGCTGATAAATAAATAAATGATAATAGTAATAAATAATTATAAATTTGAAAAATTTCAAGTGGAATTGATGGGCATCATGTTTATTTGTCACAACAGACAAGGTGAGCATCAAACAGTTTAAAATATGCCCAACTGTTACATTTAATAGGATTGAAATTTGACTTAAAACTTTTGCCACAATTTAACTACTTTCAGCAATTAGGCTTTTGGGGTGCCTTAAAAGCACTCTTCTTTGGCATTTAAAAAGCAACTTACCTATAAAGTATATGGCAAAGATTTCATTATTTGTGAATATGTATTTTAAACTTTTGAATATTAAGTTCAGTGTAAAGCCTTCGTTTTCATTGTATCTCTTTTATGTTTATGATCAGAATAACATTTAGGTTTACTTAATTACAGAACGAAGCGAATATCTGTCCTATACAAGTACATCCCATTCATAACCAATAAAAAAACTTCTCAGTGGCAAATGCAATCACAGATGTCTTCTCTATCGCATTCAGTCACCTCACTTGAACATCTTTATTTTGCTTTTCATTTTGACAGAAAGTTCAACATCTGCCCAACAACTCAGTACTGATAAAGTACGGGTAACTACAATATATAATCCAAATAATAAAAAAATTTAAATAATGTGTAAAATATCATTTCCAAATTCAATAATCAGGCTGAATAAAAATAAAAAGTTTTAAAAGTAAAGCTTGTACATAAACAATTAAATACTGGTATCAGAGCAGATCTGATGTTACAACAAAGAGACCAGTGCACGCATGTTTAACATAAACGTAGCACTGATAAAACATTGATAAAATGGTCGACCAGGAACGTGTATTTCTCATTTACCTGTACAGCCAATATGATCTTAGAAAATCAACCACTTTCTGACTGTGGCTGCTAAAATTCTATTTTAAAATTCGAAAATAAAAGTAAGTCTTTTCTTCCACTCCTTAAAAAAAGGCTAGAAGAAATACTGCACAAAAGGGACTTTTCCACAACTGCATGCTGTTAACATGCACAAGTCTTGTTTTTTAGATTCTTTCATTGTCTTGTTTTTTTTTAGTTTCTTTCAGTGTAAATAAGCCACTTGAAAAAAAAAATCCTCAAGTCACTAAGTGACATCCTTATTCAGTAAGGGTAAATCTGACTGGTCTTTAGTATGGTTTTGGTCACTGGAAGTATTGTTCTCATCTACATTTGACTTTTCATCCTGGGTTTGCACATTACTCACACTAGTGCCTCTTTCTGGAAGAGTTTGTATGTTCCCTGTGGAGGCTGCCCGTTCCCTGTGGCTCTCACTGACAGCATCAATCAAGTCTTCTGACACACGGTGTTCAGCACTAGAAGGGGGATGGGACTTGCTTCTCTCAACAAACCTCTGGATGAAACATGAAAAAGTTCTTAATTTAAGTTAGCTTGATCTCCTGGACTGGAGATCAACTACAAGAAGACCTTCAGTATGGTTGTCTCCTGGATAAAACACAAAAAAGTTCTTAATTTAAGTAAGGTTATCTCCTGGACTGCAGATCAACTGCAAAAAGACCTTTTGAAAGCCAACCTCCAACATGTAACCTAGTATTCGATGGAATCCTGATTGAACAAGTCCATTGATTCTTTCAACTACCTCGGGTCAATATTGACGTTGGATGGAAGGTGTGAAAAGAAGATAAGAAGACGAATAGGAATGGCAAAAATCAGTTTCAATCAAATGATTGCAATATAAAGAGTGGGGAATATCAATGGTGCTAAAAATTACACTTCTCAAATGTTTTGTATGGTCTATTCTTTTGCACAGTAGTGAGGCATGGACTCTCTTGGCCCCAAAGACCTAAAACACAGAGGCTGCAGAAATGTGGTTCTAATGTCAAATGCACATCCCATATAATGCTCATGAAACTAACATATCGGTTCTCAAGCGAGTTGGACAAAACAGACAACAACTCAGAATTATAAAGAAAAGACAGATAGAATTCATAAGACATGCCAATAGAAAAGGCCAACTGAAAGACCTCATCCTGGCTGGAAAGATTCCTTGGAAGAAAACTAGAGGCACACAAAGGCTCCTGTTCCTAAACCAACTAAAGAAAAACACAGGAATGAACAAACAAAGACCATTGCACGAGAGAGAGAGAGAGAGAGAGAGAGAGAGAGAGAGAGAGACTTCCAAAATTCACAATCATTATAGTGGAAAATAAACAAATCAAATGACCTTTTCAAAACCAAATCATTGAATTCTCTCTCCATTAACCCACGATCACATCCCCCCTCACCATCTTAATTAATGCATCTTAACCAAAAAATTATTTGTATATCATATCTACTTCCTTGATCTTAACTTTAGGATAACATGTACATGTAAGTACCTGTAGATGAGTGTCAATAATTAAACCATCTTCAACCGCCAGTTAGTTTTAAATGCATGCTGCCCAGAGTCAATTTAAGAATCATGGTTTCATTTACTATAGTGAATCCAACATACCCATTTTACATATGCCCAATTAACACAATGATTTTTGTCTTTTTTTTGTCTCTCTAAATATGATATATATGTGTAAGTGACACACCTACAGTTCCAGACAGTTTTTCTGAGTGTTTATACAATGCTCCACATTTAAAAAGTAATCTGCTCGGCTTACTTATTATATGTACTTACGTAGAAAAAATTAATGTTTTCCTTCGATTGTAAATGCTGATATGAATATTAAATAATAAAAGTTTTAAAAGGCTTTTTTAATTGTACAGGTACTACCGGTAGTAATTAGTACCAGTACTAGTGCCGTAATGTACTTGTACTGGTTCCATAAACTGTTTAGCATAAACTATACCCCTGTACATGTGCTGTACGGTGTATACCACTATATACTGCACAAGTTCAGTCTTGTACAGAGTGCCCATTATCTATAAATTGAATTTTGTAACTCTACAGGTATATCTAAATGCATCAACTGTAGAATTTTATCAGCCCAGGAACTTTAATAAATAACTTACAGGATGCTTGTGAAGTAGTGATGGATTCCTAGCCACCTTGGCCCTGGCCACCTGTATCCTCTTGTGTATATCCACATAGACGTCAGTCTCATCAACTATCTCTTCCTGAATCAGCTCCTCTATCACATCTTCTAGTGTTATGACACCAAGAACAGTCTGCAGTGATAAAATATTAACATTTTTATCATTTTAAAAATAATTTAATAAATTTATATTTCATTATTAAAATATTAACAATCAGTATTTTAAAAGTGCATCATATTTTACGATGGAAAGACTAAATT